GTTCTTTAAAATAGTAAACCATTGCTTCCCAACATATTACTTTCAATTTGGGTATAATAATCCATGCACTAGTAATATCATTTGAACGACCACCTCTAACATCAATATCATCATCAGAAACTATGCCACCATAACAACACATACGACCAGAAGGTGTTACAGCAGTTGAGTGAAAGTATACTGGACGAGGCATTATACACTTGGTGAGTTTTTCCCATTGCAAGGTATCAAAATCAAAACGCCAAACATCTTTGAAGGATTGAAAACCATCAAAGCCACCACATATATACACTAAATTAGATTTCTCAGGACATTGAACACAGCTATGGCAACTTCGGTTATTTGGATAACCAGGTCTTGGCACTCTGGGGTCGTGTTTGGCCGGAAGGAATTGCCACTGTTTGGTAGCCACGTCAAACATATGGATTTTCTAATAAAAATAATATCTGAGTAAAATGCAAAAACTTCAAAAAATCATCATTAAAAAATGAATTGAGTATGTATAAACTTATAGTTATAAATTTATAACTTATAAGACTATACAGTTCAATTTATTGATTTATTTGAAATTAACAATATCTGTAAGTTAAACCTGATTAGGCCCAACATTACAAAACTACATCATTAATGCTATTGAGGTATTGCTATTACTATTAACTAGGGAACAGATTTAAATGCTCTAAAAACAAGAACAATATCTTTAAAAAAAATAATACAATTTAATGTATTTATAAAATAAAAACAGTGGGTAAGAGAGTAATGCTCTACATAAGGTGTTGTGGTTCATTGTAATGATTGTGTAAAATTTAAATTCAATAATCATTGCATAAGAAAACCAATTCAGGGCAAAGATAACCTGTCAGCCTATAATGTTACTAAATAAATTTTATTATATTATTGTGATTGAAGTAATTTATTTTTAGTATTAGGCATTAATACTACAGTAGTTAGGTTAAATTAATTTTTGCGGAAAAATTGCATTTATTTTGAAAATTTCATTGTGTGTAAACTATATAAAATATAACAATGTATTCTAAAGGTTTCAAGTTACCCATGGATAATATTTTTAAAATATAACTAAATAACTAAAACCTTTATTCTTGGTTTTAATATGTAATTTCATCAAAATTTGAACTTAAAATGTCTGTAAAAAATTACAGTTAATTTATTTTTTAGATTTTTTGGCTACAATATGAACTATTTATGAGAACCCTTGTTTTAAATTTTAAATCCACGTCTATAAAAAATTGAACATTTCATAATTTTTAAACTTAAACTAATTTGCGGGTGAATATCCAATGTGATATATACATTAACGACAAAATGTACATCGGTACTTTGATAAACTTAATTTTTTTAATTTTATTTATTTAAAACAAATTCATTCAGTGAGTAATAGTAAAAATAATTCACTCATCAAAAAATTAAACTCTATAAATAAATAATAGGATTGAATAAAAAGTAAATTTGTTGAAAATACCATATTTAAATATATAAATATAAAATTATTTAATACTAACCGAAAAACCATAATAAATATTGCGGGCACCACCTCGTCCGCCACCAAATATGTATATTCTACCCTTATAGAATATCACTTCATGTCGATATCTAGGTTCAGGTTCTTGACCTTCCCCTAGTGACTTATGCAGCAACTCCCATTTTCTTGTACTCAGATCAAATCGATGAACATCCATCTCGTATTCATAACCAGATGTGCCACCAATTGAATAAATATATTTACCATCCATTACAACCCCTTGTCCATATAATGGTAATGGAACATCTCCAGACACTTCTAACTCTTCAAAGCTCATTCCATTTTCTTTATACTCATTGGCTAAATTTCCTGAAATCATTAAAATGTATTAATCATTCAACTTGTGTTTATTATTAATGAATATTGTGTAATAAAAATCTTACCCAAGTACATACGGTTGCTACAAAATGCTCCAAATGGAACCCCAGTACCCCCATATATAATGATTATGTTACCAGACAGTGTAACTGAACTAGATGCTAGTTCTTGAGGAACATTCTGGCACTTAATTATTTTCCATTCACCTAGGTCAAAACAATATTTCCAAAGCTCCCGCATAGCTGATGACACTCTTCGACCAAGAACATCCTGTAAGTACACATTGATTATAGTTTATATTCTTTAAAGAATGTCACTCAAGATGAGTTATAGTATAAACATGGGAGATCAAAAGATAATAGACAGAAAAATTATTTCTATTTTAAAAACAGAACGTTATTCAACTTACAAGAAATATAATTATAAATGTTAAGAATCGGCAGATAATTTGTATAAAGAAAAATAAATGATTCTTACATTTGTTTGAGGGTTGAAACCTCCATATGAGAACAAATAGGCATTATTGCACACCACACGATGTCCACTTCTCGCCAATGGACGTTTCTGTGGATTAAGATTTTTTTTTAATACTGTGAACTGAAATGGTTTGAATTTGTATATTGAAATGGTATTATTCGACATTTTTCACTGCATAAMACCTGTTTAAAACACAAGAACGAATTATTCATTAGACCAGGAGGATTAATGTAGAGTAACATAATTAGAGTACATACTGTACTATTGTCACATTGAATAGTTAATTCAAAGCAGGGTAAATATAATTGAGAGTATTTTAAAAGTGAAAGGAAATATTAAAAATGTTAGGTACGATACTAAATTGTAAGTCACATCTAACAGGGTATRATATTTTTTAAATAATTTAGTGTGTAAATAGTGTATATTTGATTTTTCTTTTATAGTTTATACATCAGTGACAAATGGGGTTAAATAGCAAACCAAATCAATTTATTTGTTGTCATTAAAAAAAAAAAAAATCAGTGAATTATAAAAATGAGTTTCATATATATTTTGAATATAAATAATAAATATATACAAGATTAAAAAATATTTGACTTTTTAAGAAATAGTTATATGTATGATAAATTGATAAATATAGGTACATACTTTGTATTTGATTGTTGCTTAATATCTTTAAGATATATTATAAATGTAAATGAATTAAATATTTATAAATATTAAGTAATGTGTATAATATACTAATTACCAACCATGTATTAATGTATTATATTGTGTACAGAGAATTTTTSTTGAAATATTTTCTATAAAATACTAAGCATTTAAAAAAAATTTTAACAGGACCACAAGCAAAAAAATCTCTTTTAAGAGAAGGTATTAATTTTTTTAAATAAAATATGTAATTTACATCTGTTATTTAAATGAAATAGGGTATTATAAAATTTCTGACTGTAAACAATTTTTGACTTGGTCCTGGATATGTAAGAGTTGGAAAATAATTGAATTAGCTCTTACCACACAGTAGTAGATCAATATTTTGTTAATTTATAAATAAAATTGTGAAAAAACTGGAGTGGTTTATTGGAGTATAGTGGGCCTTATATTATAACGTTTGAGCTTTGACTTCCAAAAATTAACATTGTTGCTAAAAAAATAATATACATCTACCTGTTATGAACAAATCGAGGATTATGTTTGGAAAAAAAAATACACGATAATACCTATTGTAAAAACACTAAAAACTAAAAATTAAAACTAGTTACTGGAGTTCTGAGTTCTTGATGTTTTGGTAATTCGGGTTTATCAGTGTATCATATCACGAATTCACGAATAAATAGGTACATACAAGGCACATAGACGGGACGGGTACAGTTTTCCCGATTTTGATAACAACTGATAACAKYGAACCTGATAAGAACGAAAAAAAAAGGCTCTTGCCAACCTATAAAAGTTAGCACAAATCCGAATTCCCGCA